AGACCAAAACTGTAGAAGGAGTAGCATTTTAAAGGAATTTCACAGGAAATTCTATTTCTAGTAACCATGGCGACACCGTTCATCGAAATCAAAAACCGTTGCACTATTTTGTGTATCTTAGTATAGTCTACTTGTGTGCCATGTTATACATGTATTGAAATCAGATCAAAATTGTAGGAGGAGTAGCGTTTAAAAGGAATTTTACAGAAATTCTATTTTTAGTAACCATGGCAACAACGTTCATCGAAATCAAAAACCATTGCACTATTTTATGTATCTTAGTGTAGTCTACTTGTGTGCCATGTTATATTGAAATCAGATCAAAATTGTAGGAGGAGTAGCATTTTAAAGGAATTTCACAGAAAATTCTATTTTTAGTTACCATGGCGACACCGTTCATCGAAATCAAAATCCGATGCACTATTTTATGTTTCTTAGTGTAGTCTACTTGTGTGCCAAGTTATATTGAAATCAGATCAAAATTGTAGGAGGAGTAGCATTTTAAAGGAATTTTACAGAAAATTCTATTTTTAGTACCATGGCAACACCGTTCATCGAAATCAAAAAACGTTGCACTATTTTGTGTATCTTAGTGTAGTCTACTCGTGTGCCAAGTTATATTGAAACCAGACCAAAATTGTAGGAGGAGTAGCGTTTTAAAGGAATTTCACAGAAAATTCTATTTTTAGTAACCGTGGTGACTCCGTTCATCAAAATCAAAAAACGATGCTTTATTCTATGTATCTTAGTGTAGTCTACTTGTGTGCCAAGTTATACTGAAATCAGATCGAAATTGTAGGAGGAGTAGCGTTTTAAAGGAATTTCACAGAAAATTCTATTTTTAGTTACCATGGCGACACCATTCATCGAAATCAAAATCCGATGCACTATTTTATGTATCTTAGTGTAGTCTACTTGTGTGCCAAGTTATATTAAAATCAGACCAAAACTGTAGGAGGAGTAGCGTTTTGAAAAATTGTTTACTGACAGACGGACAGACAGACAGACAGACGGACGGACGACGGACACCTTACTATCGCATAAGCTCTTCTGGTCTCTGACCAGTAGAGCTAAGAACGTCAGTCAGCATTTGACTCAATGATAAACTGTATTTGCTGACAAGGTAATTGTATCGACCATAGAACTTACGAAATAATGACTTTAAATGAGACAGCTGAAATTCTTGTTTCATCAACTTGTTTGTCAATAATTTACCTCGTTTTATAAATTGTTCATACGTAGAGCATGCTATTGCGTATCGAATCAACTGAGATATATAAACTCCGTATGCAGGTGATGAAGGTATATTGCTGCATAGGTAAGGGAAGCTGACAATAGAAAAGTTATAGTCATCACGTTTATCATAGAGCTTGGTTGTTAGATTACCATTAACGTCTTTTTCAAGTAAAATATCAACAAATATGAAACAGATGTGTCAGATTCTGTGGTATCTTTTATCTCAAGCTCACTAGGATATATCGTATCGACATAAGAATGGAAATTAGTCTAGGGATGTCAACGAATAGTCGACTATTCTACTCTCAGTCGAATGGACCGACGATCGAATAATGAAACGACATTCGAATATTAAATAAATGCAAGTAAAGGAAGTGATGATGAAATTCTCATCTCAGAATTGAAAAAGCGGCCTTCCTCTCGTAGCGTACGTCCTCGGACGAATAAGAGCTCAAACACAGTATTTAATATTAAATATTTTTTAAAGTTCAAGTTAATATCCAAATTGTACATATGGAAAAAACAGTAATTACATACCGCGATAATTATTTCTCAATCACTGACTTTTTTGTTACTGTAGTAAATTATGCAGCGTTATACTGGACTTTGAAAATTATTTAATTGACTTGTATACCAATTATAAGTATAACCTCTAGGAATTTCAAATGCTAGGAACACACAATATTTGCATACCCATGAAGTTTTTTAAACTTCGATAATTATCAAAACAATAATCTTACATAAAAGACATTTTGATAGCTTTGGCAATCCTTAATTATCAAACAGTATTTAACAACATCACCGGAGGTGTGGATAGTGTGTGTTTACAATTCCCATTTTCCAATGTATTTCTATTTTCCAATTTATCATACTGAATAAGCTTTCAAAAACACCGTGCTATAAAAATATTTACATTTCCAATGTCTTTGTCCGAGATAAAATTACCAATTGTAAATGTAATTTATTTCCTCATGAATGTCTTGGCGCGGTTCCCCCCCAAAAAAACCACGTGTAGGGCGGGACAACACCTAGAGAGAAGCAGGCTTGGAGCCCGTGGATTGGCGGAATCAAAGCATGTAAATATAAGGAATAACTGTCAGATTTTTCGAATTCATGAAGATGATCAATGGATTGGCTTGTGTGATAATTTTATGCATAAACGCCTTCGGCGTTTATGCAAATCAGCACACAAGCCAATCCATTGATCACTTCATGAATTAGAAAAATAAGACAGTTATTCCTTAAATAAATGCTTAGAATAGTCGACTATCGTTCGAATAATGCAATCGAATGTTCGACTAAGGAAAATTTATATTTTGACATCCCTAGAGATTACCATTGTTAATTGATAGTACGTCGTCGATATATCTAAATGTCGAGTTGAAGGCCACAGCAAGTGTTTTCTTCTTTTCACGCATAAGATTTTGCACAAATTCTGATTCATAGGAATACAAAATAGGTCTGCTAATAACGGGGCGCAATTGGTACCTATGGGAATCCAATAGATTTAGTAAATTTTTGCAAAAGTGGGTCAAACTCCTTGTGCAATAAAGTGGTACCCAAAGAAAGAATACACTTGTGAAATATAAAAAGCCATAGTGCCAACAATCAAGGATTAAGGGCAGGTTACAGTTTTTGTGGACAAAACAAGCGGACATTCTGAAAAGATTTTTTTTGTTTAAAATTTTAAGATCAACAGCCTCTTGTCTTCATAAGCCAACACAAGGTAGAAAACAAGAAGATATTTACCAGATGTCATTTTCTTCAGCAGCCATGACAGGTCTCACGCTATCTCCTGAGATTTAATCCTGAAACTTAAATTGGTTTTATGAAATTTTATTTAGTCAGTTTTGGACATACGTTACCGTATTTTATTAGATATTAATAAACATAGCTAAAACTGATTTCCAGGCAATCTTTTTTATTATTGTATGTTTTGGAGACCTGCATCGGAAATCTGATAGGTTGTTCTGAAATTAGTCCCTAATGGGTGAACCCGAAGTGGGGGGGGGGAGGCTTTAGGATTTCTTCTCGCCTGTCCGTTCGTGTCTCCATCTGTCCGTCAGTCTGTCTGATTTAAAACTGGTTTGGTTTTCAGCACTTTTTTTCGAAAGGCATGTTTTATTATATCTTTGGAATGATATTTAATGGTTAAGTTTGTTTAATGCCATTTTGTTAAATTTAAGCACGAAATATAAATACGATACTCACTGAATTATGGTGTGAGTAAAAATCGTAAGCGAGTTAATCCCCCCCCCCCCAAACCGTATTACAGAAATCTGAGGACTTGCCTGCTTCCATTATACAAAACGAAATCAAGCACAAATTATGAATGAATAATGGAACCAGAAGTCTCTGAAGAGACTGTAGTTCTACTGGTCTGTATGTGTATAAAGGAAAAGTAGCACTTGGGTTTGACTTTTCTTTTTTCACAGAAATTTCTATTTTTAGTAACCATGGCAATACCGTTCATCGAAATCAGTGTAGTCTACTTATGTGCCAAGTTATATTGAAATCAGACCAACACTGTAAGAAGAGTAGCGTTTTAAAGGATATTCATAGAAATTTATAACTTTAGTAACCATGGCAACACCGTTCATCAAAATAAAAAACCGATGCACTAGATTATGTTATCTTACGTTAATCTTCTTGTGTAAGAAGTTATATTGAAATCAGACCAAAACTGTAGAAGGAAAAGCGTTTGCAAGGAATTTCACAAAAATTTCTATTTTTAGTAACCATGGCAACACCGTTCATCGGTGTATTAAATTAAGTTTCTTAGTGTAGACTACTTGTGTGCCAAGTTGTATTGAAATCAAACCAAAACTTGAGGAAGAGTAGCATTTTGAAAAATTGTTTACAGACAGACGGACTGCTAAAAAGACGGACGGACGACGCACACCTTACCATCGCATAAGCTCTTCTGGGGCCCGTTTTACAAAAGGACTAACGACTTGAGACCAAATTGAATTTTTAGTATAACTTTTTAATAAATATTACATTGAAAATTATTTTGAAGGTTTTAAAAGGAATAAGGTATGACGTTAACACAAACAATTTCAAAGAGAAATATTAATTTTGCAAATTATTACAACAATCTGAAGTTTTTGGTCTTAGTCGTAAGTTCTTTTGTAAAACGGGCCCCTGGTCTCTGACCAGTACAGCTAAAAATGAAGAATTCGACATTATTGCACCTACATTCAACCTATAATGTCCAACACGCTTCGAGATAAATTTTGGTATCTATTGTATTAGAATTTTTTGTAAATGTGTGATAAATGACAGGATATGAGATAACTACTTTGGCATCTCTTCGAGCGACCAAATGCTCTCTCTGGCATTTTTAACAAGATTTGGGAAAGATAAAATAATCACCGAACTTTTTCGCAATGATGAAGTATCCATGTTGTATATGAAAATGTGTGTATATTTCTTCAAAGTATAATTCATATACGAAAAAAACTTGCATGGATGTGAAGAATATACACCGATACATGCACAGGAAGGTATCATTTTCTTTCTATATGCCATGTCCAATAGTTTCTCAGAAAAAAAAATAGAACCACAGTATTGGTTAAATTACACACAACGGAACTTTGGTGTTTGTTAGCATAAGGATTAAAATGAATCGATCGATAACGATCATTATAATAGTTAACGTACTATAAAGCATCCTCAACTGGGCGATAATGTCAACAATTCTTTGCTGCACATTCGCTTAAATGACAACGAAAAACTAGGATATTTGTTTAAATTTGCTCAACATGGAAATGATTTTAAGTTCTGAAATATTGATGTGCCTGCTCATTTAAAATGGATTAAACGTCAGAATAATTAATTATTGGGATTAATCAAGACTTTCTGGATAATGCGATTAACTATCAAAATATTAATCTTTGCTGTATCAGCTTGGGATCTTATATCGTGTGTGCAAGGATCTTTAATATGGAAATTTCCAGGTAAAACTTGCTGATACCGGTATTTTTTAACATGTTTAAATGTATACTGGAACATCCAAATTGTTCTTTGAAACTTTAATTTTGGGTTTCTCATCTTGTACTATTTATAAATTGTACCTCACTGAAAACTATTTACAGTTCATTAACCTTAATATGTTCAACAATTTAAATTGTTTATGGATAACCTCCTTATCTAAAACAATACGAATTTCCTACTTTTTTTTGAACAAGTTACATATATTTGTAAGCAAACTTGATTGTGGTTTCGCGACCACATTTAACTAGTTTTCTATTATTTCATATGAGCGTCAAATACGCTTTATTTACCAAATAATGTTATGTCTGAGAGCTGTTTTTTTTCATGTTTGTGTATGGTAATATTGAATGGATTGTAAATTTTCCTATCATTCATTGTAATGCGAAAATCTTTTTATAGATTTTTTGCAAAATTTGCTAGCACTGTAGGAACTTAACAATACAACACAAATATTTGATCAATTAAAAGGATAATATTTTTTTGTATCTTACAAAAAAGATAATGCACCAAGCTATGTTTACATAAACTGTACGTTGAAATGTGGAACAGATGTACAAAGTACTTTTTCATTATCCAATTACGTACAAACAATTAATTTCCTAAATATCAAAGTAATTTAAACTTAATTTTAGTACATATATCAATGAATGATAAATCAGTTGTCGATATATAGACCAAATTTTACAAAAGATTCCTCCCCTCCAATGATTGACAGCCATATTAAAAAGGGACAAGCGATGCTGTAAGGAGAATGATACTCCTCTTTGCTACTCGTGCATGCATATGAGTATAATAAAAAAGTTTAACGGACAGACGTACACCCCATCACTACCTACCCCCACCCCCCAAATTAAACACACATATTTTCAAGCGAAGGATATAATAAGAAATGGTTTCAAACATACCTATACACCTAAAATACTGCAATATTTTTTTAAAAACCAGCATGATATATAAAAAATCTTATTCGCAAACTCATTCATTTTTAATCGAAAATAAATTATAGATGTATCTATGGACTACGAGAGGTACTAAATATTGACATTTATCTCTGAATATTCCCAAGTTACACATGTAAATGGATAGAATTTCAACACAGACATTTCAGATAAAAAAAGACTAATAATCTCTAAAAAATCAGTGGGATTAAAAATAATGGAATAAGCATGCGCAGAAAAAATTAAATATTGTGAAATGAACCCCGACAAAGACAACTGAATATATTGCGTACATCTACAAAGTACATGTACATTTTCATTCCCCTAGTGATGCATGTCTCTTTGAAATCGATTATGATTTCATGTTCAGAAACGATTTTCCACCAGTACGATGTTTATTGTCCAGCATGGTATCCTTAATATTCTAGAATTTTCAGTGTTTCAATTTCTGCCAAAACTGATTATAACTTCCATTCTTATGTTTACATAATCATATGCTTAAATGTATAAGAATAACACAGCGGTGTTGATAGATATATAGATATAAATACAACACATATCAACACACTTTCTTATTAGCTACTTATTTCAGTAAATAAACGTACTTATCGTTGTATGATACATGCACGTTTTGAAACCATTTAAAACTATAAGCTGGATAAAAAAAGAAGAATACGTGATTTGCATAAAGTATTTTTTTCTAGAAAACGTCAGTACTTTTGTAAATATTGAGTTAAATTGATTAATAATTGAGAATAGTTCTCGCTTTATCATGTTTGTGAAATCACTAAATAATCTGATTGTCGACGTCGATTGACATTTTTAAAAGATCTGCATGACGTTCAAAATAATGTCAAGGTGATTAAACTTTTAAATAAAAACAATATATAATTTTAACTCATTTCTATACAAAACGGTGTAGATTTCCAAAAAGTATTGGGTTGAATGTTTTGTATTCCGGCAAACTTACAGCCAACGATCCCGTGCAGAACACCTGACGCCAAAGTCAGTTTGTCATTCTATTTGGCCGACTAATCGATAAATTTTAAACCTAATAATCGAAGGCGAGAAAAAAAAATTCTAAAAATGTTTGACTTCGAAGACAAATATATATCTCTATGTTTATACAAGGAGGCATGATTGTTTAATTTGAAATTCGAAGTTTGCTTACCAGCGAACAAATATCTGTAGTATCTAATGAATGTTATTGAAACAAGATGTGTTTGTGAAACACTATGCGCCCGGCGGCAACAAAATTACAAAAAACTAATTTTAGCATATAGGTCACAGTCAAGGTCACAAGGTCATTGGTATTAATGTTATTTGAAAGAACTTTAGTGGTGGAGAATGCATACCAGATATGAAGTCTATATCTCCTTTGGTTCAAAATTTATGGCAAAAGTTCGAAAAAGCTATTTTTAAGATTAACGTCACAGTCAAGGTCACAAGGTCAATGACTTTGATGTTATTTGTATGATCTTTATTAGTGAAGTATGCATACCAAATATGAAGTCTCTAGCTCCTATACTTCAAAAGTTATGGCAAAAGTTTAAAAAAGATATTTTTAGCATGTTGGTCACAGTCAAGGTCACAAGGTCATTGACCTTGGTGTCTTTTGAAAGAACTTTATTAGTGGAGTATGCATACCAAATATGAAGTCTCTATATCTCAAGGTTCAAAAGTTATGGCGAAGGTTCAAGTTTTCAACAGACAGACAGATAAACAGGCATACAGACAGGACCAAAACAATATACGCCTCGGATCTATCGATCCAGGTGCATAAAAAACAATATACGCCTCGGATCGATAGATCCCGGCGCATAAAAATAGTTGAAAGTAACCAAGCATTACTGTAGGTTCAAGATAGAATAGAAACTATGAGTATGTAGCTATATATATATATATATAGAGAGAGAGAGAGAGAGTGAGAGAGAGCAATAACAGTTTGGGGGGGACCGACCAAAAATTAAAAAACATCCATTAAAAAGTATTTGACATACAAAATTTAATAAAAGGAATGGTCTTCTGAAGTTAGGAGAAATAGCCAAAACTATACAATATATTCTATGAAATAACTAATTTTCGTGGTGGTTTAATTTTCTTGGTATTCAAGGTATGAAGAGACCCACGAATTTATGTCCACCACGAAATGCAATTTTTAAACATACCGGTATACTACTACTAAAAAATTCTTCACCACTAATCAAATCCCGAAGAACCAAAACATTTTCCTCAATCCACAGAAAATTGACCACTCGAAAATATGTGATTCTACAGTATTGTCAAAATTAACATCCTTCCCATCTCGGTTCATACGTACGGGTGTTAATCATTTGGAACCCCCAAGGTTTTGTACATTTAAAGTAAACACACAATTAAGAGATTTATGTAGTATATACTTGTATGTCGGGTTAAATTAAAAGATGTTAAGTGCTTTTATCCATGCCGTTTTATCGTACACTACTGTTCTTCGTAAACAACTGGCAAGAAATTATCAATTCATAGATAGATTTTTTCGGATATGAAAAGGAAGCGCTCAGTATCAAATGGATCAGTTGGTGTGCTAATGATATTTTTTCTTGTCATTTTCAGGAACAGGTAACCCTCAATGTAACGAGATGGACCCACTGAACGATACAAATAACAGTTCCTCGGAGCTCGAGTCCGATAAAAATTTCTATGAACTCGCCGTCTTCATCAATGGGGTGATTCTTTACCCATGTATATGCATTCCAGGACTACTTGGAAACGTACTCACACTGGTGGTTTTATCACAAACGAATATGCTTTCTTCTACCAACGCATTCCTGAGTGCCCTTGCGGTGTCGGACATGGTTAGCCTGATCAATGACATAATATATTTCTCTGTAATGGTCCTATCAAAATCAAGTCCGGAAGTGGCGTATCATATTTACGTTCATGTGTACCCGTTTGCTCATTTTGTTTTCAATATTGCTAACTCTGTCTCGTCATGGCTTACAGTGTCAGTTGCAATAGAACGATTTTTGCTCGTTTGTTTTCCCGCCAAATCTCGGACTATGTGTACACGATCACGTGCTATTGCAGGAACTGTGGTTATCAATGCTGTAATGCTGAGCGTTTCATTGCCGTACGCTTTCCGATATAAAGCAGTCCCCGTGTTCGACAATACAAGAAATGTGACCATGCTAGAGCTCAACTTGACCAATTTGTGGAAGGATGAACAGTTTTCAGTATACTATTCATGGTGTATAAATTTTCTCAGGTGCAACATACCTCTTGTCATTTTGATCATCCTTAACGCCTGTATCATCAAAGCGCTTTTAAAACTTCGTGCTAAGAATAGATCACGGTATATACATCGACAAAGGGTGACATTCATGCTTATTATCATCATTATGAAGTTTTTGTTATGTACAACGCCAGATGCCATTTTGTCGACATTTTACGGGTATGGATACACGGAAGACAATTATCGAGTACGCGGGATCCGTGAATTTACAGACATGCTACTTGCCTTAAATGCCGGCACCAATTTCGTTGTTTACTGCGTTTTAAGTGTGACATTTCGAATGAACTGCAGGAAACTTTTCTGTCATAAGGAAGTTCCAAATGGTGCGTCAAGGGACAAAAAATCCGTGTACAAGCTCTTGTCAGATAAATCGATATTTTGGAAACAAAACAAGAAAAACAACAGTAGCCTTTGAATCAGGGATAAAACACATTGAACTGTGAACTACTAACTAATGAGGTGCCATACAATTTTTTTTTCTTATAATTATTCTTTTATATGATTTTCCGTCCCCTTGTAGTCTTTGTAGCTTGTTTTGATCATGCCCCGATGTAATGAATGACTTTCTAGTTGAACTCAATGTTTAAAATATTTCTTTCCTATTGGTTTATATGAAAATAAATCAAACAAAGTAAAGAAATGGTCTTCATTATCGCTTTATCAAACTGTTAATCTGCAGGAACACGATCAAGTGTCAGTACATTTTATATGACTACAATTTTGACCTCAGTTAAAGTCTGTTTAATTTCATGATCCCAGGACCAAGAGTCTTTTAATGCATGTCCTTAGAGAGTTTCTCCTTTTTTTATGCAATTAAAGCAATTTTGTTTTCTGAAATATAAATATTAACATTAAATGAAAAACGGTAATAAGAATGTTTTGATATGCAAACAGTAAAATTCTGTTGTAACGAATCAAAATTGAATCTCTGCATACTTTCTCATATATATTTGTAGCTCCCGATACCTGTACATGTATATTGAATCTTTAGTGTAAACTGAATACACCAATTCCGAATTTCTTTAAACCTTTCATCACTCATCAAAAAGTATTTAAGAGAATATCTTCCTTTTAAATTTCTGCAATTTTATCAAAAGTCTGCCTCGATAAAAGATTTTTGTAATTTTTTTATGACTGCTGATTCCGATACATGTATCCCATTAATTTAAGACAATGTTATTTATGGAATTGCTGTCTAGTTAGTATAGTATGTCAGTGATTCCTTATATTTCCATTTCATTGTGAAATAAAATTGTAGATTTAGATTTTAAAAATGTAGACAGAGATTTAAATTACACTAGGACTCCCATGCCAATTTCAATGTAGTCCTCGCCCACTAACGACAAACACAAAGGCAGCCGCGCGAGATTTAAATGCATATTTGGCCTCCCTAGCGTCAGGCACAGAGACAAATGAGCACGAGATTTGCATGCATATTAGGCCTTCCTAGCTCCTGACCTATCGACCTGCCTAATTTAAAATCCGGTAAAATTATCAAGAAATCAACTCCTCTAACTTTCAAAGAGTTGTCACATAGAAAAAAATGGAAATATATTTCTATAAATGGACAGGTCATAGACTAATATTTTACATGTTTTACAAAACATTAAAAGAGTTTTTTTTTAACTTCACCATTTGTTTTGTCAGGTGCATTTTGAATAAACTTCCAAGAAACTTTCTTTACATTTGTCTTGATGTTGAATGCTATGTACATGTATACCTCATCATCTCAAGCCATGGTTTGAAATCCTCATATAGCTCTCGATAATGGGAGAGGATCATTTTGACCGTGGTTTGCGACGATGCGTATACATTAAATGTGTATACATTAATTTAAAGATAATTTATGCTCATTTGTGAGGATATGCTCCTCTTTGCCCTCGTACATGTAGCACTTTGGTCTATTTTCATTCCACTTGCAAAATCTTTGTTCATACCGATATTTTTTCACTTCTATTTTTCATTTAATAAGTAATACCCAAAAGTATTCAAGGAATAACCACTCTGTAAGGGCGACATTGTTTTACACCAACATGTACTGATGTATATATGTTAAAACAATGATGATGTTCAGTGTAGATATGAATTACTTGAATTATTATGTAGTAGTGCAATTTTTAGAAGGTCCTGACATTCGTTACTTTAGACAATTGATAATTGGTACTGAGTAATCAATAAAGAGGTCTAGTAGAAGAAATAAGTTGTTTTTATGTTGATAAACACTTTTTCAATGCAGAAACATTGTTTTTTTTTACTTTGCGCGGCCATACTATTATTAATCTCCATTTATTTATTTATTTTTAGAAACAGTTTCTCTTCGATCGAGGTATCTGTATTATAAAGAAATCTGTAACGTATATAATGCGAGTGAAAAAGCTTATAATAAGAGGAATTCAGAAGAATGCAAAAAACATTATCTTTTTTATTCAGATTATAAAGAATATTTTTGTAGGCAAAAAGATGTTGCTCGTCTGCCTTTTCTTCGTCAGTAGATCTTCCAAATTTGCTTTTATTTTTAAAACATCATCTTATATTCAAGTAAACGATATTGAGCCATACATTGTAATTCTGAATATATATATATATATATATATATATATATATATATATATATATATATATATATATATATATATATATATATTCAGAATACAATTGAATTTTAAAATATGCAATAATATCATTAAGCTTAGCCCAATTGCTTAATCCCAGAGATTAATCCCTAGAAAACATTCAGAGACAATAATTTGTTGACGGATGACAGACAGCTAGACAGACACACAAGGGTAAAACAGTATACCCCCCTCTCCTTTGGAGCGGGGGTATTAATACTGAATATCCATTTTAAGCTCAATATATGTAAGAGTAATTACTGAACAAATATAAATTTATACATTCACTTTTGTACGAAGATCTTACCGACTATGGAGTTAAATGGCCTGAATAATAAAGTAAAGAAAATTATTATAATGAGCAACTCTATATCGTCAACGTTCCTTGTTTTGGAAATAACATGTAACTGACATCTGCATGTAGTTTTGTGTTTCCCAGTTGATAAAGTACAATGATGAATCTTCAATACGAATTTTTAAACCAAAGCAGCTAACTGACAAATAACTTGTTGTTACAGGACTTCAACAACCTTGTTCAGTCACCAGTTCGCAAATACTATGGTCGTCATAATCTCGTTTGTATAAACAAGAAATCTAAAGTGTTTTACACTTACTTTGTCTATGGATGACTTCGCTAACAAACAAATACCCCGCTTACCTAATAAATACAGGGGGCTCATGACACAAGTGGCAGGTCATTCTCTCCCTAAGCATCCGATTCCACCTCGATGTTTCCTTAAGATTTTATGCCCCCGTAATCGAAGATTCGGGGGTATATAGTTTTTGTCGTGTCCGTCCGTCTGTCTATCTCTCTGTTTGTCTGCAAAAACTTGAATCTTGCCCATAACTTTTGATATAGTGTAGGTATGACTTTCATATTTCACATGTGTATTCCTTGTGACAAGACCTTTCTTTGGGTACCATCAAGTTTGACCTTGACCTTGGAGTTTGACCCACTTTTACACAAAAATTCTAAACTTTTACTTTGGTCATAACTTTTGAAAGGTAGATAATAGGTCTTTCATACTTCACATATATGTATTTTTTTTAGGATAGACCTTTCATTGGATACCAACAACTTTGACCTTTTGGCCTTGACATCTTGATTAAACTGTCTTTCAATGAAGACTGAAAGACAGAGCAAGAAAGCTTTCCTCAAGGAATCCAGCGATAATGTATGAAAGCAATGACATTATTCTGCAAGAAAATCTTATATAGTGCTGAATATGTTTGTACCGTTTGTCAAAGGATGCTTTACAAAGAAATGGTTGTGCGCTTGAAGCCTGATAAGTTTCCTGTTCAAGAACTGTTGAAGTCATGCAAAACATACATTAAAGGACCCAAAATTTGGAATGGATTTGTACAACTTGTCAAAGATATCTGAAAAGGTGAAAAATGCCTCCTCAAGCACAAACAAATAAACTGAATCTTACATTAGAATCAAGTGTAGTGAATGAATTGACAGACTTTGAAGCTCGACTTTTGGCAAAACGAATACCCTTCATGAAGACAACAGCCCTCCATCGAGGAAAACAAAAAGGAATAGCTGGATCAGTTATCAATGTTCCATCAGAATGATGAATGATGAAACTAGTAGCCATCTACCTCGTACACCAATTGCATTTGGAATCATACCAGAAAACAAATATTTCAAAGCCATATTTTTTTGTGAGAATATTAGACCAACTTTTTAAAGTTTTTGTAAACTATATATTCAAAAACTTTCGGATTGTTGAAGGAGAATAACATTATCAGGATGTTACTGATGTTTCCAAGACCTTGGTTTAGACTTTTTGAAAGAGGATAGTGACCTATGGCATCACCTTACAAGACATAAAGATGCAGTAGCTGAAAATATATACCCTGATGAAGATAATTAGAATGAAGAAACACCTGACAATTGTGAATTAAATTCTCAAGAAGAACAGGCTATGGATATGTGAAAGGACTTCCCTCTCGATACATGCATACAGTCCACAGATCCAGCTCTTGATGTTATATATAGTCAGATCTTAAACTTTGCACCAGGAGAAGGGAAACACCGGTTAGTATTATGACGGATCCTGGGTGTAAGGAGATGGCATTCCCTAAGCTCTTTCCAAGGGGATAATTTGGTTATGATGCTATAATAAATCTGGATTATTCACTAAAAATGTAGAGTATTTGTTTTCCACAGTATGTTACAGAAACACAAGCAAATAATGGATAACATTTCAATTGCCATGAGGAAGACATATTCATCAACAGGTGATAGAAATATTTACTCCAGCTTTATCAAAGACCATGACAAACTTTCTGGACTAATTTTGAAAGATCACGCTTATTAATCTTGCAGACAGTCAGAGGGTCGCCCACTTACTGGAAGAAAGCTATGTTCAAACTTCTTGCAACAGTAAAGCATTTAGGAATATTTACATTCTTTGTTAACATCAGCAGATCTCAAGTGGAGGGACACATTGCAGGTTATAGCGCGCCAACAAGGAAATGTCTTGACTGATGAACAGGTTGATAAACTATCATATGATGAAAATATGCACTTCTACCTTCAAATCCAGTGACTGCTGCTCAACATTTTGATCATCGGCTTCAGACCCTTTTCAACACTCTTCTGTTGTCTTCTGCTCATCCTCTGGATTATTCGCCCGCGTGGCGCAGTGGTTTTCCAGCAGTATGTTACAGAAACACAAGCAAATAATGGATAACATTTCAATCCTTACGTCAACAGGTGATAGAAATATTTACCCATGACAAACTTTGGGACGTGGAAAGATCCGGTCCTTCGGATGAGACCGTATAAACGGAGGTCCCGTGTCGCAGTAGGTGCTGGCACAGAAAGCTAAAACCCTCACTGCTCAATATTTACCTTTGTGCCGAGTATAGGACAAAATTGCAGGTCTCCGCCGGCAATTGGTGGAACAGGTCTAAACTATCATATGATGAAAAATTGCACTTCTAACTTCAAATCCAGTGACTGTTAAACATTTTGATCATTCAATCAATCATCCTCTAGGAAAAAATTAAACAAGAAGCCTATGGGCCACATCGCTCACCTGAGCAATGTAGCTAGGAAAAAAGCATAAATCACTTTATTTTTCAAAGGTTAAAACCTAAAAGTGGTCCCAACCAATCCTTAAAAAGGAGAGGGTATAACTTAAACAAACTTGAATCTACACAAACTAAGGATGCTTGCATATTTCTTTGACTACCTGTGGCTTTATTGCCCTTTACATTTGAACTTAAATTGTGGTCCCGTCCTACCCCCAGGGGTTATGACTCGAACAAAATTGAATCTACACTATGAATAGGACTAATCATGGCTTTGCTATTCCTGAAAAGAAGATTTTAAAAGATTTTTCTACATGTTTCTATGTAAAACTTGGATTCTATGTTGTGGCCACGCCCTACCCCCAGGGGTGATGATTTTAATAAACTTGAATGTCCACTATCTGAGGATGCTTCCATAAAAATATGATCATTCATGCCTTTGCTATTCCAGAGAAGAAGCTTTATAAAGAATTTTCCTATATATTTCTATGTGAAACTTTGACCGGCCATTATGGCCACACCCTACGCCTAGGGGTCATTATTTGAACAAACTTGAATCTCCACTACCTGAGGATGCTTCCATAAAAATACGATCAATCAAGCCTATGCTATTCCAGAGAAGAAGATTTTTAAAGAATTTTCCTATGTATTTCTATGTAAAAACTTTGAATGGCCATTGTGGCCCCGCCCTACCCCCGGGGGTCATGATTTGAACAAATTTGAATCTACACTACATGTACCTGAGGATACTTCCCTATAAGTTTCGTCTTTCCTGGCACAGTGGTTCTTAAGAGGATTTTTAAAGAATTTTCATATATATTTCTATGTAAAACTTTGATCAGCCAGTGTGGCCCTGCCCTACCCCCAGGGGTCATGATTTGAACAAACT